TATAACCCCAGAAATTTCAGTCTCTTTGTATAGGAATAACGATTCAACCCCCTAACCATTTTGGTGGCCATTCTTTGTGAACGCTGCAGTATTTTCCAATCACGTTGTAGCCATGGATTCCATACCTGTATAGCGTACTCTGTGAGTGGGGGAATGAATGCTGATAGTAGCACGGAATCAAACCAGCCGATGACCCAGCTGAGTGAGCAGCTTAAGTTTTCTTGAATGATGATGCCCAGGTCCCTCGCACTTGAGGCAAGTGGCAATTGTTAACTTCCGAGGACCTACATAATAAATCTCACGTAGCTATACAGTGTGAGTACAGTTCATAGGTGAAAGGTGATGGGCCAAAATCAACTAAGTAACAGTGGATGCAACGTGAATATTGATATCGGAATCTTGTTTCAGTCGTGTTCCTGATCATTTTCGTACATCTCTTCTTGGTTGGGTTGGAATCAGGGTTTTTGGTCAACCCCCGAGGTTATCTACCAGCGGTCACCTAACCTGGTTATAGCCCCGGATTTCAGCTTTTCGTCCTCGCACTTCAGTGGGCAAACAACTTTTCCACGAGAAGGCAGTGAGTAGGGTTTCCTCAGCAGTGGTTATGGGAGACGCTTAGTCGTATGGGACCATATCTCAAGGTGGTAGGGAAGCGTGATCAGCCGAAACCCAGGACGCCCACCCCGGATCATACTCATGCTTTCCTAGGCGTTCATGTCAATCATGATTGTTTGTTGAATGATTTATGAGCGTCGGTTCAGTAGTATAGCACTACCGCGATCACAGACAAAGCGAGGAAGGACAAATCTTGGGTGCAATTAGCTCAAAACAATCGGAAATGACCATGGATCATAAGATCAATTTGACATGAATATCTATTTACTTTCATTCGTTTTATACCATAGCTTAAATACGAAACGACTCATCAATTCAGGTGCTCCAAAGAGTAATACTGCCCCCTTTTATTTGCCCTTTCNNNNCTCACTGACCCAGATGATCCAATATTCTGATGATATCACCATAGGCAAATTCTGTTTCTTACAACTTCAAACCAATTTATCTGCTTCAAATTTATGGTCTTCGAAGTCCAAATTACCTATTAATACCTCTAAATGGAAGGATATCACATTCTCACTTGCCTGAAGAAGAATGACTACATTTTTTGAAAGAAATTGCTCAAAACTCTGTGGATGAATAGTCTCTTTTCGCCGTACATTCTTTACGTGTATTTCGCATTTCAACATAACTTCCAAAAAAATCGAACCACTGTGTTTCTTTATTTTCTGCTTGCGATCTTTAAAAGTTGCACTTTATTTACTCACCTGTTTCTCTATTTTAATTCATCTGTAAGTCCCTTAACGAGAAAGCTAAATATGTGCATTGCGCATTTCTTGACTACTCCTCCGTTTTCGACTCGGTGCCCCGCTGTCTTCTACT